AGGGGATGAGACTGTCTTAAGAATGTTGATAAGCACTATACATTTTGAGAATTATCTATATTAGGCCTTTTAGGAAAAGGGCATTTCCATCAATTTCTTCTAGGAATTGTTTTGATTTGAAAATTCCCACCATCATGTGCAGCCATAGGGTTTTCTGATGGTCTCCCATCCACATCTTTACCAGGCCTGACCCTGCTGTTTATTTAGACAAAATTGTATTTTCCTAAAAGGCCTAATATAGATAATTCTCAAAATGTATAGTACTTATCAACATTCTTAAGACAGTCTCATCCCCTAAAATTTTACAATTTTTCACTTCTCATCCAAGAAGCTTAAGAACTGAAGAATTGAAGAAACTTCTTGGATGAAAAATGAAAATTAAAAAAAAATTAAGAAAGCTCAGCTGCCTTTTAGGGGGAAAAAAGGCCCTTCGGACAGTCTTCGTGTGTTCCAAAATATCTCTTCTGAGTAATTTTTAAGCAAGCAGAGCCCTTCTAATAGCCATCATGTCCTGACCTACAGGACAGAACTCTTTATCTAATCATATTTTGTGTTTCTCAAAAAAGGATTTTGAGGGACTGGTAGAAGAATTTCCCTCTCTGCTGGAATTTGCTACACTAGACAAGCCACTCCTAATCTGCCTGGATAGTATAGATGAATTATCAGAGGAATATGGTGCTGACCTTTCTTGGATACCACCTGAATTACCAAAGAATGTGCATTTTATTGTTTCTACTTCCTCAGAATCAAGCATTTCATGCATAAGAAAGCTGGAGGTAAAATGAAGTTCCTGTATTAATTGTTTTTCATTCCATACTTTTTCAAAATAGTTGGAATTCCAAGAAAGCTTTATAATGCCAGACATCTTTGAAGCAAAAGCATCTGGCAACATAATAATTTTGATTCCTTGTAATAGGGGTTCCCAACACCCGGCCCACTGTTATAAGGAATCAAAATTATTATGTTGCCGGTTGCTTTTGCTTCAAAGGTGCCCACTACCAGGCCGGGGCCTATTTGGAACCAGGTTATGCAAGTGATGGGTTGACACGTATGTGTGCCTGCCGGCCCACTACTGCATCCGCAAATCGAGCTGTCTGCACACTGACCCACCACTCATGCAGCCTGGTTCCCCTCTCCCATCCCTCCAGCCAAGCCGCAAAGGTTGGTGACTGTTGCCTTATAGTACAGTCATAAATTTGGTTGGAGCAGAATAGGATTCACAAAAATGTCCACCGATCACCCTAGGGCAATATAAGGCACATTTTCAGAATTTAGATTCATTGAATAATTGAAAAGGAAAGTTTAAATTTTGGAAGTTGCTATTGGAGAATATCTTAAAGAGTGGCAAAATACTATCTTTCGGGTACTCAGGAAAAATTATATACCAGCCTTATCACAACATTCTATTAACCAGTGTTGTGGAATTTTGTTAAATTATCTAAACATTATGGAGAATATATTATATTCCAGCACATTTCCCTTTTTGTCATGTTTTTATGTTCCTTAGACAAAATGATAATAGACCAATGATTTTGTAGTGCCTGTTGACATTCAAATCTAATTTTTTTATGTAAATTGGAAAAAATAAAGTAATGCAAAATTTCCTTTGCTAATTTTTTTAAGCTCAGACTCAATTTCAACTTTGCATTCATATACAAAGATAAAATGAAAATGAGCAGTTTATATAAAGGAAGACTTTTTTCTTTTAAATTAATATTTACAACAAAGTGTGTGTGTTCGTGACCCGTCAAAACCGCGTTCCACAAAAGCGCGGGCGACGAAATCGCGTATGTGACGTCATCACAACGCGACGAAAAAGATNAGGGAAGATGAGAGAAGTGGAGAAGAGGAGAAGGAAGAAGGGAAAGGAGGAGAGGAGTAGGAGAGAGGGAAGTAGAGAAGAGAGAAGGGAATGAAGTAGAAGAAAGGAGAGAGATAAATATAAACAATGTTATACAATTATAAAAATAATGCCTATAAATATGACATACAACATTATTTAAAAGAGATTATAAATGTATGATTGAGAATATTGGTTATAAACGGGGTGTATAAAGCTATGTGTACTAAAAAAGGACTAGATACAGCCAGTAGATTGCTGATGCAAAACTGGAAATGTGATGTATTATTTAAAAAAATGTACAATAAAAAAGTATTAAAAAGAAAAAAGAAAGAAAATATCCAAAATTTTGCAAAACTCCTGCCTTTGGATGGCAAGGAATAATACAGGGATGGTGATTTCAATCCAAGTAAAACAGCTTCTGATATTATTCAATAAAAGGCATCCTTCTCAGAAACTAACAGTACAGGTAGTCCTCGACTTATGACCACAATGTGAGCCCAAAATTTCTGTTGCTAAGTGAGGCATTTGTTAAGCATTTCCCCCCATTTTCTTGCCCAAGTTATTGTGAATCACTCCTGTTAATAACCCGATTGTGAAATGAATCTGGCTTCCCCCATTGACTTTGCTTGTCAGAAGGTGTTGTGGCCCAACAGCTGCCGGCTGAGCTGTTGGTGGAATCTGGCAGTGATGAGCACTATGGGGCTGCCCTGGAGGCTGAGGAAGACTCTGGGGGGTGGGGTGTTCAGAGTCAGAGCAAGGACTAGAGAATCCTGTTGGCCACCAGGTGGTGTCTGAGTCAGGGAGCAGTGAGGAAGAACACAGGGAGGCTGTCCCTGACGTACTATGCCTAGGGCTGCGATGAAGAGGGAGCAGCTTTGGGAAAAGGGTCACAGAAGGAAATAGGAACAGGTGGCTACTGATTGGCCCCTCACGGAGAGCTTATAGGTGGGGCGACGGGAGGGGAATTTTGCAGGAAACAACAATTTTCTGATCCAGTCATAGAGAAAGATTGAGAGAATTTCGTGAGTTCAAGCCTTGTTTCGTAGAGATAGCTTTCTGGGCTCCCAGCCAAGGGGTTGCTTATCTCCCTCCTTAGTTGTGGCAGACAGCCAAGTCTGCGTCCATATATATTGTAGAGGTTTGGGACAGAAGGTTGCAAAAGGGGGATCGTATGACACACACCGCCAGTTGCCAAGCCTTTGAATTTTATTCATGTGACTATAAGGATGCTGCAATGGTAAGTGTAGAAAATGGTCCTAAGACATTCCTTTCAGTGCTGTTGTAACAACAGACACTAAATGAACTGTTGTAAGCTGAGGACTATTTCACAATAAACAGGAAGAGATTGGCAGTGTCTTAGTTCAGTGTGTCAGATGAATCTTTTGGGAAGTGTTCCTGC